CGTTGGTGAAGCTTCTCTCTATTGGCATGCTCGTAGTAGTGAGTTAAATCCCACATGATTGACGCAGTGTGCAGCTCCTCCTGCTGGATGGCGCCGCACTCAGCCTTCAAGGATTGTTGGTAAACCAACTCCAAGATGGAACGCCCTGCTTGATGGGCTAAAAACTCTCGCCTGTTTCTGTTCTCCCAGCTTCTTGCTTCATCCTGTCTAATACGGCTCAAAACTCTATAAACAGCTGGCATAAGTTCAATGCCTCGATAAGACGGCCCGTCCCCTAAAGGTTTACGTGGTGGGATGAGGGTAGATCTCACAGCAAGAAGTTGAGATGGCATGCGACCGACGCGCTCCACGCACATGAGGAGCCTGCAAACCAATTTCTGCTGATCGCTCGTCAGCAGCCTGAAGTGGCACGGGTGGACGCCGTCCCACGTCTCCGCCGTGGCGTGGCTAAACTTCTTCAGGGCCCTCTTGAGCATGCTATGGGTGATCTCTGGGAGCTTGAGGGCAGCGTGAGGATCTCCAGGGACCTTTGGACGAGGGCCCTGTTGATATTCCCATATGTTTGTTAATAATCGTCGGACATCCCCTCTGGCTGTAAGCGATTAAGTCATATCCATAGTCGTAATGATAACATTAAGACAAGTACTACACATAGTGATGGTAATAATATTAGTCCGACTAACAACATTTTCAGTACAACTATTTTGAGCAACGGTACGATGGGAAACAATAACAAAAATAGTAACAGTTGTCACATTAAGAAGTAATGCGACATATGATCTTGCGAGGAACGATGATAATGCGAATCATATTACGAGTCGCGAACATACTGATACGTATCGAGGCATGCCGTCTGGGGAGAGTAAGGCCTTTCGGGTGCGCTGTCGCGATCTGCCGAAGGCTCAGACTTCGCGAACTTCCAGTGGGGTCCGCCGAGCAATGAGCCGATCGAGATGCACCTGTCATTCGTCACCGACTGCACCTCCCACCAGGCGTGCCTTTGCGACCCGGTCCAGTTCAGCTGCTGCCGCTCGACCGACTCCCGTTCCTTCGTCTCCTCGTCCTCCTTCTTGTCACCTTTTTCCTGTTCCTTTTCCTGCTGCTGCTCCCCCTCTCCTCCTATTCCTCCTCCTTCTCCTCTTCTTCCTTCTCCTCCTTCTCTTCCTCGTCGTCCTCCTTCTCGATCGCTGTTGCCGCACGGCTTGCAGCCAACTGCCTGTCTGCTGAAAGTCGGGGTGGGAAATCGGCTGTCGTCTACTGCAAGGCAGGCGCGTGACGTCGATTTGCCGGGCCTGCACAGTGCAGGAGTCATCCTGCAGGATCCCAGATACCAGTCTGGACGCCATGCCCGCCCAGGAAAAATAACAACCCCGACTTCGGCCCCCCCGCCTTTCCCCCTGGTTTCGGGATGGGCTTATCTCGATGGTCCGGCTGGGGATACACGTTCCTGGACCAGGAGGGGGCGGCCGTCAAGGCCGAGGATGGATCGCTTCCAGGGCTGCGCTTTCTGGCTTTCGTTTCGAGGGCCGAATATGTCGGCCTTAAGAACTGTCCTTGCTAGAGTGTGCCCATCCTCCGGCCAAAGTTGGGATCGATAACGGTATGGTCGCGACAAGCTGGCGCCGATGCAACAAAGGGTGCTGCTTGCCAGGAGTTCGCACGTAGATCTGTGGACTGTGGACCAGAGCGTGGCTGTGACCCAGTGACGCTTTCTCAACTGAAGGGGGTTTCCAGGTTTTGAGAGTTCGGGCCCACGACACGAGCCCTGTGGACGACACCCATGCGAATAGGCTCGATGTTCTTGGTCAAAATTTGGCAGGCATCGAGGCGAAGTTGGGGGCCGATCTGAATGCGGCCCGTGCGTGGCGGGCCCAAGTCTGGAACGATTTCGCGAGGTGCACGCTGTTCTCAAGTAGGTGGCGAGGGGAACTGCTCGCACCCCAGGCTTCGGCGAGTCCGCAGGAAAGCCCGCCACGGGCCCAGTTGGGCCCAGGCGCTGACTCCCGGGGCTGCTGTGTCTAATCTAATCATCTCCCTCCTCCTCCTCCTCCTCGTCCTCCTCCTCCTCCTCCTCCTCCTCCTCCCCCTCCCCCTCCTCCTCCTCCTCCTCCTCCTCCTCCTCCCCCTCCTCCCTCCTCCTCCTCCTCCCTCCTCCTCCTCCTCCTCCTCCTCCTCCTCCCCCTCCTCCTCCTCCTCCTCCTCCCACCAATGATCCATGAGCCTCGCCGCTCGGGCCAAGTCTGCCTTCCGCGGCGCGGCGCCGTGCCCCCCTCTCGAGCGACGCGGGCCGGCGCGGGCCGGCGCAGCCCGCGCCGCGGCCCCCGCAGGCCCCCCGAGGCGGCGCGTCGCCGCTCGGCTCCCGCGCCGACGCGAGCACGACGCAGCACCCTGTAGTTTTGCGGATCAGGGAGTCGTTTGGCGTTTTTTTTTTTGGTGTGTGTGTGTGTTTTCAAAAAAAATCAAACAAAAAAAAAAAGTCGTTTGGCGTCGCTCGCCAGGGGGGCAGGCCTCGTGCTGCCACAAAGGGGCTGCGCCCTAGGGAACGAGAAGAGGCGTGCCTGGCCACGGCGGGCCTGGGCCGCAGACAAAAGACAGAGTTTTGCGAGGCTCTGGAGGATGCCCGCCGCAGGCGCCTAAGCCTTCTACGAAGCATGCAGTGAGCCCGCCGCAGGCGCCGACTTTTCGTGGAAGCACTGTGTTTTTTTTCCCCACGTGTGTGTGTTTTTGTGTGTTTGCTGTGTGTTTTGTTGTGTGTTTTCCCACTGAAGGAGGTTCTTCATGGGTGTGGCGTGTGGCTCCTTGGTGCAGGGGAAGCGTGAAGCCTCCTGGGCGAGGGCGCTGGAATGGGAAGGGGGTGGCGCGCAGCGCCTCAGAGTGTGCCTGCCCTCCCATGGGTGACGGCTGTGTCTGGCCAGGCTAGTCCAGCATGGTTCTAGCACCTTGCTTCCAGCGTATGCTAGCGTAGACCCCTAGTAGTAAGGTGTTCTACTGTGGATATCTTGGCCATGTGATGCAGTAGATCTTGTGTAGACTACTCGGTGCGCTCACTGTTTGCACAGCTTGAGGTCGTCAGCACAACGGCTCGCGCAAACATCCTGCCCTCCAACCCTCAACCTGCTTGGCAGAGCCGTGCGGCCTCGTTCGCGGCTGCTGAGTGGCCCTTATTTGCACATCTTTGTAGGGCCGCGCTGGCGCGCGCACGCTCGCGCGCAGAGCGACCAGCTGCTTTGGTACAACTGATCGGTATCGTTTAGCCAATCCCCATCCCCATCCCCATCCCCTTCGAGAACCCCCACAAAGCTACCACCCCAGTTGGGGATACACCCCTCGAAACCCGAAGAGAACGGCCTATATCCCCATCTAGGGGGGGAAATCAGCCAGAGGGGCCCAGGCCACGCCGCTGGGGATGGGGATCGGTTAAAAGATACTCAACTGACGGTGCCGCGATCGCGCTCACCGCAGGGAATGTCCTAGCGCGTCTCGAAGGCCGCTTTGGCGGTGGTGCACGTCAGTGCGTGTCGGTGGCCCGGGCGGGAGCGCTACCATGATGACGTCGGCAGCAGTGGAACCCACGATGATGGTCGCGGTGATGGTGGCTATGATGGCGATGGCGACGGCGAGGCCAGTGACGGCGCCGATGCTGGTGGCGACGATGACGGTGATGATGTCCATGTATCGGTCATGAAGGTGTTTGTGTTGATGATGGTGGCAGTTGCGGCGATTTACGGTGACGCCAACGGCGGTTACATGATGGCACTGCCGAGGCTGATGAGGAGGTGCGCGCGGGCGGGGATGCAAGTCGCCTGGCAGACTTTCTGTTCAGTGACATGTGGTGCTTGTATATGTTGTTTGATGAGCTATATGTTGAAGTGCTTCGGACACCGATGTTTTTGTTGGTCGGATGTTGGCATGCGCGCGTGACGCCGCGCGCATATAGCCCCCCCTTGTACAATGTGATACACATTCGTGCACTGGGTGCATGATAGAATCACGCGGCTGCACCGTGTGGTGAGATAACAGTGCGGTTTCTCATCGAGATTTTGAAAGTAGTTTGGTTTCCTGTGATGCTCGGATGCGAGCGGGCAACTTCTGTACAGTAACTGTTTGATAGCCAAGGTGTTGTAATGGATATTATGTTGAAGTGCGTGCGGAACCACTAAGTTTGATACGATTTCGACATGTTCGCCTTCGTCGTAGTTCATGCAAAGGGTTTATCAACATATTACGATCTGAGGTAAGCGCGTGCGCGCGCATTGTGTTATTTTCTCATGATGTGTGGGGGGTCGGGAGGTGGGTGCGGGGGGGTGGTACTGGCTGGTATAGGATGGTATACTTGCATACGCAAATTGGCGATACGGCAGAACCACATGTAATTTGCCGTGTCCCAGTGGGGCTGGAAAAGTCTGGGCTCGGGAGGGTGGTAGAGCGCACGTTTTTTTTCTGCACGGGAGTCCATGTGGTACAAGCTAGGCGGTGCAAGCTATGTGGTGCAACGTGGTACAACCTACATGTTCTGGAGTCAACAAGGGTGCGCAAGTTGTGCGGTCCAAGCGCTGCGGTGCCAATCTGTGTGGTGCACGATGGCTAGTGCAAGGTGTGCGAGGCCGGCCGTGCGACGCAGGCTTCCTGGCGCACGCCGTGTGCTGCAGGCCACGCGGTGTGGGCAGCGCGGCGCCAGCCGTGCGCGGCGGCCCGCGTCGTGCACAGGCGGTGCGGCGCAGGCCGTGCGGTGCGGGCCGCGCGGCCCATCGGGCGTGCCGTGCCGCCCTCTGCGCGGCGCCCTCGGGGCGCCCGCGGGCGGCCGACGGGGGTGCCACCGCGGGGGGGGCGGGGGCCCGCGAGGTGCCCGTTGGGCGGGCGCCCGCCGCCCGCCCAACGGGGAGCCCCGCCGTGCCCGTGCAGCTCCTCTCGAGCAAGGAGGAGGGCGATCGCCTGCGTGCAAGCACCGCTTTGGGGGGGGGAATTTTTGTGTGCTCCTCCCCCCCTCTCCTCCACCCTCCTCCTCCTCGTCCTCTTTCCCCCCCCTGCCCCCCGCTGGGGTGGTGATCCTGAGTCTTCCTCCTCCAGCCTCCTCCCTGGTGTGTTGTGATGTGCAGTTTCCCTCGCGTCCCCCTCCTCTCCTCCTGCCCCTCCTTCACGTCCGTGTGGGGGCCTGTCCCTCTCTAAGAAACGGGCCGTGCGGTGTTGCATCCGCCTTTCAGCCACGCTCCGCTTCGACTGATCATATAGCACCACCAGCCCAGCACCCCTACGTAGCACCCCGTGGGCCTCGTCTGCCGTCTCCCCCTCGTCCTCTACTCCTCCCTCCTCCCTCCTCCCTCCTCCTCCCTTCTGCAACCGTTCAGTGCCCCGCAATCCCCGTGTGCCAAATTCGAATCCGTCCCCGGCCCCATCCGAGCCGCTCATAGCATCCTTTTGAAGGCTTCCGCCCAGGCACGAGGTGTCATTAATAATGCTAGACGATCCAAGCCCCTTTCCACCTCGTCCTCTTGATCGTCCGCGTCCTCCTCGTCCTCCGCGTCTTCTTCTTCCCCCTCATCCCCCTCCGCCTCCTTCCTATGACGGAGGGGCCCCGCGTGGGCCGAGGGCTGTACCCCAAGAGAGGGTGAGGGCCCCAGGGGCTCGGGCCGACTGCTAAGCTAGTGGTCGGCCGAGCTCCCTGTCTTTCTTCCACGCAGCAGGGGCCCGTGCTGGGACTCCTGCTCGATGGCGTTCCCATTCCCGTTCCCTCCCTGAACTCCGAGCCCTCACCCCTTACTCCTACACCTTAGGCGATGCTTAAGAAAACCCAAGTGTTCGGCCAGAGTCTCGATTATTCTTAACGTTTCAATGTAAATCTTAAGATTTTTGATAGAAATCTTGGGTTTTTGTTCAAGTTCTGAGACTATGAATTTCTTAACCCATGATTTCTTAAGCACTTCGCAGGGTGTATTGCTCCCTCCTCGGCCACCTTCCCCCCGCCCCCCTCCTCCTCACCCCTCCACTGCGCTCTCGCCTCCTCCCAGGGAAAGGGGTGCAGGGAGGGGGGCGGGGAGGGGTTGGCCATCCCGCGGCCTCCCCCCTTCCCCCTCCCCCCTCTTCCCCACCCTCTCTTCCCCCCTCTTCTCCTCCATCTTCACCTCCTCTTCTTTTTCTTCTTCTTCTTCTTCTTCACCTCCTGCTTCACCTCCTCCTCTTCCTCCTCCTCCTCCTCCTCCTCCTCCACCTCCTCCTCCTCCTCCATCTCTCTTCCAGGCGTGGATGGCCACGGCCCTGCTGCACAGCGCCCGCAGGGTTGGCCAGACAGATCCCATCTGATCGCCCCCAGGCTCGACCATGCCTCACCAGGCGGCATCTTGTCACCAGGAGGGGTACAAGGCATCCTCCTCCTTCTCCTCCTTGTCCTCCTCCTCCTCCTCCTCCTCCTCCTCCTCTTCCTCCTGCTCCTTCCCTCATTTTCTCCTCTTCCCCGGGGGCTCCAGGAGTAAACAACCGCCTCGCCTTCGAGGGATCGTGGGGATGACATGCCATCTCTTGGCGAAAGGCCGGCGGAAACCAGCGGAAGCCAGCGGAAGCCGTCCTCCTCTTCCTCCTAGGGTGGGATCCGCATGGGGCCCGCGACGGGGAGCGTTTGAGAGCCCTCATGGCCATGGTTTTTTCAGACGATGGGTAACAGCAGGATAATCAGGGGGAGCAGGAGGAACATGCGGTTTGTTTGCTCAGGCAACGGTCATCGACCACAGGAGGCGGAGGAGGGAAGGAGGAGGAGGAGGAGGAGCAGCAGCAGCAGCAGCAGCAGGAGCAGGAGGAAGAGGAGGAGGAGGTCGAGGAGGAGGAGGAGGAGGAGGAGGAGGAGGAGGAGGAGCAGGAGGAGGAGGAGCAGGAGGAGGAGGGGAAGCAGCTGGAGCAGGGGAAGCAGGATGAGGTGGAAGGCCGAGAGGGGTCGAGCTTGGGGCCGATCACCCTCACGTGGCTGCGCGTGCACTGCTCCGACGCCAGGCTCGGGCAGCGGGAGGAGAAGGAGCGGCTTCTGCAGCGGGTGTACCCGCAGCTGCGCCTCCTCGACGTCAACGTCAGCCGCGAGACGCCCGACATCAGCTGGATCAAGCCCCTGGCGTTCCAGCAGCTCCTCGGAGACAGCTCGAAGAAGAAACAGCGGCATAGGCATGAACGTTCGGAGCTCCGCGCGGATTTCCTGGATCCCCCTCCCTGGCGCGAGCGCGCCGGGGTCGGCGCCAGAGGCGCCGCCAGGGTGTTCTCGTGCCGGAGGCACTGGCAGGGGGGTCCAGCATTGATCCACGAAGCCTGGGTAACCAGAAGGTGCCGATGCCGCTCCATGCCTGGGCACCTTTGACCAGGATTTCGAGGCGAACCCAGCGGTGGCGACGAGGGCCTCCCAGGAGGCGCAAAAGGGCGAACCGTGGAGGGAAGGGTAGCGGTATCGATACCTTCCTCCTCCTCCTCCTCCTCCTCCTCCTCCTCCTCCTCCTCCTCCTCCTTGTACGTGCGCGCGCTGTGGTGTTATCTGCACGTGTGTCAGGCACCCCGCCTCAGGGGGAAGGTGTGCACTCCCTTTTCCCCTCCACCCTGCGGCCTCGTGGCCCGTTCTCTTACAGGATTTCTGGCGCTGGTTTCATGATGCACGGGTCGGGATCTGTTCCCGCAAAGAGTTTTAGGCCCTTAGACTTGTGGGACGAGGCGGGGCTTTGGTCTCGCTTGAAGTCGGTTCAAGGCGATCCTTGCAGCCGCTGTTGCTTCACGCGCGTCTCCTGTGCGTGCGCGCGCATAGCTGTTCTGCGCGTGTGTCAGGCACCCCGCCTCAGGGAGAAAGTGCGCTCTCCCTCCTCCTCCTCCCCCTCTGCCACTCGCCACGTGCTGTCGTGAGGCCATGGTGGGTGTAGTGGGTTAGATCTGGGGCCCTCGTGCCGTCCTTTGCGCTGCTGCACCTGTTTCGGCTCTCTCCCCGCTGTTGCACGGCCGTGGGGTGCTGAAGGTAATGCTTCCCCCGCGGTGTCTGTTGCTCAGCGGGGCATCACGTCGGAGGCATGGCAAACGTTGTGCCGAGCTGGGCAGTGGGCTCGATCTGGGGCCCTCGTGCCGCCCTTCTCGCTGCTGCTCCCGCTCGGCCTCTCCTCCGCTGTGGCCGTCCGCGGGGTGCGAAGGTCCTCCCCCGATTGTCCTGGCTCGGCGGGCGCCTACTTGTTGCCTTTCGTTCCCCGCTGCTTCCACGGCGCTGCGGGGCTGGCAGCCGTCTCGGCGCGAGTCCCCCCCGCAGCTGCCGTGGTGTCCGCGGCGGGGCGTCACCCGGCGCCGCCCCCCCCCCCCAGAGAGCACGGCTTGGCGTGTATGTCAAACAGATCTTCCGCCTCCTCCTCCTCCTCCTCCTCCTCTTCCTCCTTCTCCTCCTCCTCCTCCTCTTCCTCGTTCTCTTCCTCCTCCTCCTCCTCCTCCTCTTCCTCCTCCTCCTCGCCCTCCTCCTCCTTCCTCCTCCTCCTCCTCCGACAACACATGCTTCTGCCGCCCTTTCTTCCTCCCAGCAGCAGCATCGGCGACGACGCGGTCGTGGCGATGCTCGACGCGGACTTCCTCTTCATGTCGAAGCTGCGCGTGGACGACCTGGCGGAGAACAGCCTCCTGTCGATGGGTTCGAGGCCAGCACCTGGCTCGCGCGCCGTGCTCGGCACGCAGGGCACCCCAAACCAGGACACGGCTAGACAGGACATTGACAATTCCACCTCCGCCTCCGCCCTTCCCCCTCCTCCTCCCCCTCTCCCCTCCTCCTCCCTCCATCCCTCCTCCTCCTCCTCCTCCTCCTCCTCCTCCTCCTCCTCCCTCCTCCTCCTCCTCTCCTCCTCCTCCTCCTCCTCCTCCTCCTCCCCTCCTCCTCCTCCTCCTCCTCCTCCTCCTCCTCCTCCTCCTCCCCCTCCTCCGCTCTCCTCCTCCTCCCCCTCCTCCTCCTCCCCCCCTCCTCCCTCCTCCCTCCTCCCTCCTCCCTCCTCCCTCCTCCCTCCTCCCTCCTCCCTCCTCCCTCCTCCCTCCTCCTCCTCCCTCCTCCCTCCTCCCCCCCCCTCCTCCCTCCTCCTCTCCTCCCTCCTCCTCCTCCTCCCTCCTCCTCCTCCTCCTCCTCCTCCCTCCTCCTCCTCCCTCCTCCTCCTCTCCTCCTCCCTCCCTCCCTGCTTCGCCCTCCTCCCTCCTCCCTCCTCCCTCCTCCCTGCTCGCCCTCCTCCCTCCTCGCCCTCCTCCCTCCTCCAGGCGAGAAGGAATAATGGAGAACGAATGGCTCGGCCCGCCGCTGCAGTGCTCGAGGGCCCCCCTTGAACCAGGCCACTGCTGCGGTCGGGGACTTCTCGGTGCGGCGCGTCGCACCGCCGGGTTTTGGCCCGCCGCGCTTCGGCGCGACACGCGGCCCAAGGCCCAGCCTCCAGTCGGGACCGTCCCCCTACAGGAGGAACGTTCTAAAATAGTCGAAACAGTCGTCAGGGGACGATTCTTCTACCATGCCTGGCCACTTGGGAGCATTTGTTGACCATGGTATAGATGTTCCTCCCAAATCCGCCTGCAGGAGGACATGCCCGACCGAAGCCCAGCCCCAAGCATCAGCGCCCCGAGCTTTGCCCCGCCTCCCGCCCCGCGGAGCGGAGCGAGACGCTCTCCGCGTGCAGGGCATGGCGTGTCGCCTGGGCCGCCGCCGCGACACGCTAAGCAAAAGCTCCCGACCGTAATCAAGACATTGCACATCCCACCTGGAGAGAACGAAGAATGATAACGTTTCGGCCTGAGGGCGCGCCCCTGCCCCGGTTGATCAAAAAGTCCCCGTGGAGGGAACCCCGAGGCATGCAGGGCGTGGTGCAGCGGTACGAGTGCCGCGGCTTCGCCGGCGCGCCCTACATCTTCACCGCCAAGGCTCGGCATCACCCAAAACAAGCCTAGCAGAGGCGACTATAGGGGCGAATAGCCCTGGGGAGAGCAATACATGTATTCAGGTGCGCCGATGATCTATGTCTTCGAAGAGGCTCCCGGGCGAAAACGGCGATTCGCCCTTATCAACGCCGCCGAGCTTATCCTATGAGGGCGCCGGCGCCCTGGAGGCGACGCGCGCGGTCAGAAGTCTTGTAGTCTATGCTTGGCGGTGGGCGCTCTCCGGCCAGCCCCTCCCGCCAAGGCCAGCCGCGCGCAGAAATCAAAGATGAAAGGTCGGGACACACCGGCCTTTTTTTGCGAAGGCCTTACGGCCGGTGCCGCCGACCCTGAGGACGACGAAGATGAAAACGAGCGGGGAGGGGTAGGAGGCGGAGGAGGAGAAGGAGTGGGGGGGAAGAGGACAGGTGGAAGAGGCGGATGAGGGAGGAAAAGGGGGGGGGGGAGGATGAGGAAGAGGAGGAGGAGGAGGAAGGAGGAGAAATAGGCAGAGGAGGAGCAGGAGTAGGGGCGCAGGGGGTGGGGGGAGGAGGATGCGAATGCGGAGGAGGAGGACGAGGAGGAGGATGAGTGGGGGAGCAGGCGAGTGAATACGGAGAGGAGGAGGATGAGTTTGGGGGGGGAGCAGCGAGAGCAATGCGGAGAGGGAGGAGGAGGAGGAGGAGAGTAACAAAAGAGAGGAGGAGAGACCAGGAGTAGGAGGAGCTGGAAGCAGAGTCGTGAGGAGAGGAGAATGAGGAGGAGGAGGAGGAAGGAGGTGAGGGGGCGGAGGAGGAGGAGGAGTGGGGGAGCAGCGAGAGGAAGCGAGGAGGAGCAACCAATTCTGGAGGCCTCGAGCCTCGACAGAAATGGGAGGGAGAGGGCGGGGACAAAATTTGTCCGAAAATCCATCCATATGGCCTCTTCGGGCCTTCTTGAGAGTCCTTTTGGGGCTCTTTTGACCCGTCTGGGGGCTCCATTTGGCCGTTCTTAGGCGTTCTTGGGTTGTCTTGTGGGACTCGGGCCGTCTAGGGGCGCTCTTGCGGATCCGTCGTGGCGAGCCCCCCTCCTCCAGCGCATCTGCAGAGGGCCCCTGTGTAAAAGCCGCAAGCGGGGGATGGTATTCTGACCCGGGACCCGTCCCCGGGACCCCCCCCCCCGGGGATCCCCCCCCGGACCCTCCCCCCCCCCCCCAAAGAAGGGATCAAAGGGAAGGGGCTTCCCTTCGACTCAATGACAACGTTGTTAATTTCGCTTTGGCTGGGTTGCTTCATTTCGCTTTTGCTGGCGCGCTTGAGGACGAGGGCTCAGGGAAAGAGTGGGGAGTGGCGACGGACCAGAAAAGAAGACGAGCACGTACGAGGACAACCACCACGACGAACAAACCATTCCACACGCCGACACGGTCGGCGGATTTATTGTTTCGACGATCGGCGCGGGCCCCGCACCCCCCTCCTCCGCCCATACACCAGATCTTGTCTGCTTTGGGCGGCTGCTTTTCGCGACTGGTCAGGGCCCCTCCCTCCAGTCTGCTTGCGCGACTGGCCGCGAAATGTCGAAACCAAGAAGAGGAGGAGGAGGAGGAGGAG